GGCGGCGACGGGCGGCTGGCGCGCCGGCGAGGGCGCGGGCGACGGGCTGGCGCTGCCTGCCGGCAGCCCCGCCGCTACCTTGGCCGGCTTGGGCGCCGTGGGCGGCGGCGGCGGCTTGGGAGACACGGGCGGCGGCGTGCCGTGGGCGCGCTTCACCTCTGCGGGGAGGACTGCGCTGGCACCGCGGTGGGCACGGGCCGCGCCAGCTCCCGCACCGGGCACGCAGCCGCGGCCCCTGGGCCCCAGCCTCCCGCGGCCGCCAGGGGCCGCGCCCGCAGCTGCAAAGCTCGCTTCGCTGCTTCAGAACCCCCCTCCAGAGGTGGCCTGCTGCAGCCACACCGCCGGGTTGGGTTGCGTGCATGCCTCAGGGCCTCTGCACCTCTGATCCTTCTGTCTGGAAACCTCTCCTCTCCCTCTGCACCTGGGTCAGGGGAGGGCCATCCACCTTGCTCCAGCCTTAGGCTGGCAGGGTTGTCCAATAGTGGGTGGATGAGAGGGTCTGGGGACACTTTCCCACCCTACCCCACCTGGACTTCCATCAAATCCAAGAAGAGGAAACAGCCCTCAGAGTAGGGAGACGGGCGGGGGTCCTGCCTCCCCTTCTTGGCCTGCCTTCACTGGCTCCATGCACCTACCTGGGCTGCCAGGGCCTGGCAGCGGCACCTTCTTGGAGGTGGGTGTGGGCGAACCCTGGATCTTGGGCACGGGCTGAGCCAGGACAGGCTTGGGAGAGACAGGAGGCTTGGCAGGCTTCCGGGCATCACTCTCCGGTGGGGGCAGTGGGGGCAGGTGCACCAGGTCCATGGGCGGTGGCTCCGCAGGTGGGGGCGGCGGGGGCAGCTCCAGAGGCCCAGCCTGCTCCGAGGCCGGCAGGCGGCGTGCAGTGCCCGTGCCATTCTGGTACACAGACAGTGGTGGGGGCGGCTCAGGCCCAGCCTCCCGCTCCTTGGCCTTGGGCCTGCGCTTGACTGTGTCAGACTCGGTCAGGATAAACTTGACGTTCTCCTGCTGGCTCTGCTTGGCCCGGATGCGCCTCTTGAGTGTGGCACTGGCCTCCACCCTAGCCAGGGGTGGGCCCTCAACACTTGCGTCACCCTTAACTGGACCTCGAGGCCGCTGCCGGCCAGCACCGTCCTCCACGAAGTGGCCTTGATCTGCCGACTCCCCAGGCCCCCGACGGGCAGTGGCCAGAAGTCCAGTGACCGGCCCGCTGAGCGTGCGGCGCCGGTTCACCACCTCCCCATCAGGCCCAATGGCCTCTTTATGCTTCACGGAGGCCAGCACCGTGGCCACCCGGCCTGGCTCTGGACTGGCAGGCCGAGGCGTGGGGTGGCCCTCGGGAGGCCTGCGGGCAGCCCGGCCCCCACCCCCAATGGAGGACAGCTCAAGCATGGCCGCGATGCTCTTCACACTGCCGGCACTGCCCGTGTCCACGCTGCCAGCTAGGTCGCTAGCCCGCCGGCGCTGTGCCCGGACCCCCAGCAGGCTGTCTTCGGCCTCGGCGTCCGGCACCTGCTCATCGGCCAGGTTGGCACTGGCCATGGCTGAGCTGGAGCGCTTGGGTGGGGGCGGTGGGGGCCCCTTCTTGCGGGGCCGCACAGCGAATGACTGGCTGCGGTTGACGTTCTTGTCGGTGCCAGCGGGTGCCCTCACCGAGTGGCTGCGGCCCACACGCCGCTGGACCGTGGCGTACGGCCCTGTGGCGGCGGGCACCAGCAGCTCGTCCCGCTCGGGCTCGCTGTCAGACGCTGCGTAGCGATTCAGGCTGTGGGCACGCTTCTTGGGCCGCCCTGGCTCGGCGTCAGACTCGGGGGGCAGGCATAGTGTTGGCACAGCTGCAGGCACAGGCGGGGGTGCAGGCCCTGGGGCAGCTGGCCCCACCTCGCCCTCCACAGGCTGGGGCAGCACATAGGCAAAGCCACGGTGCGTGGGTGATTGTGGCAGGGAGCGAGGTGACATGGGTCGCTCCGTGGGTGGCAGCAGCTGTGGGGTGGGCTTCACCTTGGCCGTGGCTGGGACTGGACCATGAGGTCCCCCGAGGGCCTGGGGAGAGCCTGGCCGGGCTTTGGTGGGCGTCTGCGGGGGTGTGAAGTGGCTGGCGCCTGGCAGGAGGACCTGCCGTGGCTTGCCAGGCACTGGGGGCACACTGGCTCTCTTGACACTGTGACCATGGCGGCCAGGCCGGGCCTCCTTGGGCGGGGTGCCAGGGGCTGGCCCCTCATCCAGCAGGTACTCCTGGCTTCGAGACATGGGGCTGCCTGGCCCAGGGGGCCCGTCACCCAGCAGCTCCTGGGAGCTGCTCATGTGCCGTGCCCGCCCCCCCAGGCTGGGCTCCTGCCGCACAGTGGCCCTCGGGGTGGGCGGCAGGTGGTTTGGGGGTTTTTCGGCAGCAGCAGCAGTGGCCCCCTCGGCCGGGCCAGTCATGGCAGCCTGCAGCTCGCCGCTAAGCTCACTGTCCTGGAAGGTGGTCATCTTAGGGGACTGGCAGTCAGCTGGTGCAGGCTCAGGCGGGGGTGGTGACTCAATGGCCATCACTTCCAGTGACTGGGGTGCCTTCCGGCGCAAGGGTCCCCCCTCGTACTTGGCGTATTCTGCCTTCTGCAGCTCCGCCAGTTTCCTCACTGCCAGCATCAGCTTCTTCTGGTGTCCTGAGAGGTGCACAGGGGCAGGTCAGGTGGACCAGGAGCCGCAGGGGCTGGGGCTGGGCCTGGGGGCCGGGCCCTCACCCAGCTTGGTGATGCCGATCTCCTGCAGGTCCTCCCAGGTGATGTCGGTGATGAAGTCGATGTTCTCGTAGCCGTTTTCCACCAGCACTTTGTAGTACTGGGCCAGGCCAATCATGGACAGCCACACGGCCAGGTTAGCCTACGGAGCAGGGGACACAGAGGGGCAGCCCGAGCTGGCTGCCCACACCATGCCCACCTGCTCGGGGCTGTTGGAGGAGGGGTGCTGGGCCAGCAGGGCACAGACAGACAGAAGGACAAACGGACAGGCCGAGATATCATCGTTGGAAACCTCACAGGCAAGCCTTGGCAGGAGCCCAGGGCCAGCGCCTCGGCACAGCCCTACACGCAAACACACACATGGGGATGGCCCCTCCTCAGGACGCCCTTTGAGAGGGCGGAAGCAAGGGCTTCCTCGCCCGGCCAGGCGGCCATGGGCATAGCACCCTGAGGAGACCCACCCCACACGTCGTGGACACAGACATACGGCGCCACACCAAGTACGTGTATACGTGCACACGCTGCACACTGCGCTCCCAGCCGTGCACGGGCACTGACATCCTGTCCCGCGTCACGCTCACACCCTCTCAGTTTCCCCACCTGCGTCAGACACACAGCCACACGTGTGCCACACAGCCACACCACACACGTGCGGATATCCACAGCAGTCCACCAAGAGCCACCGATCGCTCCCTGAGCGGCATTCAGGTGCCCACACTCCCAGCTGGACGTCACTCGTGCACCCACACTTGGCACACTCAGTCACCCCAGGTGCACAGGGCAAGGCGAGGCCCACAGGACCCAGACGTGCTCCCAGGAGGCCCTCTGAGCCGCTGACTGAGTGGGGCAGGGCGGGGTGCGTGTGCACCAACTGTGAGTGCAGGCCCACCCGGCAACAGATCCAGGACCCTGACGGCCCTTTGGTGGCCACCGAGCACCTCTCCCATCAGTGGACGGGACCCCAGAGCTCAGGTTGGGCCAGGCCCTGGGCCCACCTCCTCCAGGCCCAGTCCCTACTCCACCTGCCTGTAGCGACAGCACAGGCCAGTGTGTACAGGTACGGCTGGAAATGGAAGTGTCACCTGTCAGCAGGGGCCACACGTGAGGTGGGGCATGTGTGTGCGCATGCAGTCGTCAGCGGGTTCTTGGAGGGCATTCAGCACACACACGTGCCGGATGCCGTGGACGCAGGCCCCCTGCCATCTCTGCATTTTTGTAAGAGGCAGTGCTCAGGGGTTGGGGTGGCTGGGGGTCCCTGTATGGCAGCCTGTGTGTGGAGGGGGTCGTTTTGGGGGTCAGGGAGGTGGAGAGGGGGACTCACTCTCCTGGCCCCAGGCTCCTCTAGCCCCCACCCCTGCCCCAGGGAGTCTGGCGCCAGTGCCCAGGATGGACAAACAGAGGCTGTCTGGGTGGCTCATTGCTGGTGGCCCATCCTCCACTGTCCTCTCCCTGGAGCCCTAGAGAGTTGGGGAGCCAGTCTGTCCGTCTGTCTGTCTGCCCGTCCTGGGCCCAGCCACTGGGGTGCAGGGGGCCTTACGGGCTTGTGCTCAGGCAGCCAGTCGGGCACACTCAGGCCACTGATCTCTGCTGTGATCTTCTTCCGGTGGCCCGGCTTGGTGACACCGATGGCTGTGAGGTCCTAGGCAGAGGGGAGCCCATCAGCGGGAGGCCGGGCCTGTCTCTGGGACACAGCTGGCAGGCAGCCTGCAGGAAGCTCACCTCGGGGGTCATGCGGCTGATGGTGGGCAGGTCGTAGCCGGCGCTGACGAAGTTGGGGGTGTAGAGCTGCAGCTGGAACGTGGCGAGCCACTGGCTGACGGCCTCGGCGCTCTGGAAGACACAAGGTACCCGCTGCAGGCTCGTCCACCCCGGGCCTGCACCCTGGCCACCTCACGCCTCCTTCTCTGCTTGGCTGGCAAGCCATGTAGCCACCGGGTGCGCCGTCCGCTGGTCCATCTGCAGCCAGGCCTGGCACGCCTGGCCCCGTGCTCCTCGATCGCAGTCCTGGGCGAGCCTTCTTGAACGTCCTCCAGCTCTTCCGCCTTCTGGGATCTCCACCAGGAGGGTCCAGTGCTGTCGTGTCACGGCCTCCCTGACCTTCCCCCACCCCCCATTCCTGCACCAGGGACACCCCACACCATCGGGGAGGCCGGCAGTGTGGCCCCGTGTGAGGGGGCTCTGGGGAAAGGGGCCTCTGGCTGGGCTGCTCAGGGCTATCCCCGGCTCCCTGGAAGGTGGGCTCTGTGCCCACAGGCAGGCACCTTGCTTCCTCCGCCCCGCAGGAGGACTCAGCCAGCAGCTCACGCCTCCCAGCACCCGGGTGCACGCACACACGGCCCGCTTTGCCCACGCACGCACTGTGCTGTCTCACACCTGTGCCCAGCTCACAGTCACACCGCCATACACACGCACCCCACTCACTGCACATGCCCTCCACAAGCGTGCACACACGTAGGCACACGCCAGCTCACACGTACCACTTACATGATAGACGTCACCTGTACACACAGGAGTGTGCACACAACGCACACAGACTGACAGACAGAAGGACGGGCTCTGGCCTGGCAAGGCCTCTGGCCCTGCTGTGCCTGGGACCAGGCGAGGCTGCCCGGGTGCCCGTCAGACTGTCAGCCCAGCCGCCCTCCCTGAGGCCTGGCCCTGGAGCCGGCCCAGCCCTGTACCTTGCCCTCTGATGCCGGCTCCAGCTTCTTTGGTGGCTGATCTCCGTGGACCTGCCCGGTGTGGGCCACTGGGGGCTGGGACCGGGCCGCACCTGGGGACGAGAGGCGGGGGGCAGGGGCTGCTCAGGGGCCTCCTCCCCACAAGGCAGGCGCAGCTGCATTCTTCACTTACCTGCCGAGCCCTCTGGAGGCTTGGCGGGGCTGTCCCCAGGGCTGGACTCGGACACGGACTTCTGGGAAAGCACTGTTGCCAGGAGCTATAACCCAGAAAGACCCGCTCACCGGCCTGCTCCAGGCCCTGGCCACCTACCCTGGCCACCACCCCACCTACCTTGACTCCCTCGGAGCCTGGATGCAAGGCATGGCCCCCGCTGCTCCGGCCGCTGGCCACATTGCTCACGCTGCCGCTTCGGTCACCACCTGCCAGCAGGAGGGAGCAGGATAAGGCTCTGGCCCTGTGCGCGGTGGAGCCCTGCAGAGTCCTGCTGCCCCAGCCCTCCAGGGCCCCAGCCCACCTGCAAAAGGCTTCCTTAGCACCCAGATCTCCTCTGGGGGTGCAGAGGGCCCCAAAGAGCCGCCTCCCTGGGGTGGGCTGGGTTCGGTGCCTGCTCGAGAACCTGTAGGCCAAGCACAGTCTCCTGAGCCCTGGGCCGAGGGAGGGGCTGATAGAGCAGAGGCCAGCTAGTCCGCACCTCTGGGGGGCCACACCATGGCCGCCTCCTGCCCCAGCTGTCTCCAGGGAGCGCAGAGGCCCTTGGAAGGCCCCATCCACTTGGATGGCCACGGTTGCAGGCCCGGCCTCCTAACCAGCCGCCTCTGCCCTCTCACACATTGTCACCTGCTATGTTCTCTGGACCCGGAAACCACCCCTGGGCTTCACAGCCTGGGCCCTGGGGGTTGGCCACATGCCCCTCTCCCTGGCACTCACTCTGCCCCAGCTCACGGCCTCCCTTCCTCACTGTGCCAAGCCCCCTCCGGCCTCAGTGCCTGGACTGCTCTGCCCTTGGCCGCCCCCTTCCCCCCTGCCAGGGCGCACTCTGATCTCTGACCACCCTATCTAAAGCAGGCCTCTAGCCACTCACCTTGTGTCACTGGTTGGTACAGTTCCCTCTGTGTTTCTGTCACTGTCCCTACCCACTCCCACCCCAGGGCAAGCTCCCTGAGAGCAGGAACAGTGTCTGGGTCCCTGTCTGTCCTTAGTGGTCAGCTCAGAACCAGAACACGGTGGGCATGAGTGCTTGTGGGATGAATGGAGGAACAGATGTGCGCGGCCGCTGGCGAGGAGATGGCCAGCGGGCCACCCTGCTGGACCCCTTTCTGGCCCCCGAGCCGAGGCTGACTGGCTCCTCCCTGCTGGCCCCCAGGTTGCGGTGGGACTTGCCTGCTCGCTTGACAATGGCCTCGCCCAGGGAGGACGGGAAGTAGCCCACCCGGTCATTGCCCGTCCGGTTGTCATGGATACAGCCCTTCCACCGGCCATCTGGATGCTGCTCGAGGACCTGGTCAGTAAGGTGGGGCTGTGCTCAGGGAGGCTGCTCCACGGGGAGCCTCCTGCCCACCCAGCACTCCTGGCTGCTGCGAGAGGGTGTTCTGAGTGAGCCTGCCCAGGCCCCACCTGGCCCTGCTCCTGCAGCCCCGGGGCTGCCCTTACTGTGATGATGTCACCGGCCTTCACGTTGAGGCTGGTCAGGTCGTAATTGTTGCAGTAATCCTTGGTCGCCCGGACCTGCAGGGCTGCCGAGGCCTCTGGGGACACAGGAGGTGGACCCTTGTCCCAAGAGCTGACCTTGCCAGGCCCGGCCCAGCCCCCGCCCCCGCCCCACCCGGGCCCACCTCGCAACAGCTGCTTGATCTCCTTGCTGGCCTGGGACGTGGTAAACTGGTGCACGATGTCCAGGGCCGTCTGGCTGTAGGTGTTCCTCATGTGGGCGTTGATCCCGCTCTGCGTGTGCGAAAGGACGAGGCCGTCAGGAGCCTGCGCCGCCCGCCTGGCCCAGCTCCTGCAGCCCCGACTCACGTCCAGCAGCAGCCGGACCACTTCTGTCTTCCCACAGAGCGCGGCCTCGTGCAGGGCTGTGCCCGACTTGGTCTGGCGGTTAATGTCGATGCCGGCTTGGAGGAGAAGCCTGGTGGGGGTGAAGGCGGAGCGAATGGCAGGCCTTCCGGCAGGAGCCCCCCGCACTAGGTCTCAATTCCTGGGTATCCCGACTGCCTGCTCGGGGATGAGGACCGGCCGGCCCTGCCCTGGGTCCCTGACTGCCACAGTGTCTCACTTACCCAGTGCTAACCCTTCACAGCTGGTATCTCCTGTGACCCTAGTGTTTGCACTACTGGGCCCCCCACCTTATGGGTGGGAAAACTGAGGCTCAGAGAATTCAGTGCCTCCACGAGGTCACCCAGCAATGGCAGGGCCGGGACAGAGCCAGGCTTGTGGGCTGTAGCAGCCCCCTGCCCAGTCCCTGCAGCTCATTCTATAATACATGGGCGGCTGGAGGCCACACCAGAGGGCTGACCATGTCCCCGTGGCTCCCTGGATGTTATCCCTGACCCCAGGGTGCCACTGAACTTGAGGAATAGTGACGCCGAGTCCCCTCCCCGCCAGGGCTGTACCTGATGATATCGATGTGGCCATTCTTGGCTGCCAGGTGTAGGGGACTGGTGCCGTTGGGGTCAGTGGCATCCCCTGGCCGGGGTTCCAGCAGCGCCGCACACATGTTGCTGCTTAGGAGCAGCTGGACTACCTTGAAGGAGGGGGCAGGGTAGGGGGGCCCTGGCCTAGGCCACCCCTACCCCAGGTGAAGGGGACAGGCCGATTGAGCCCCACTCGGCTCCGCAGGGAGACTTACCCCCACGCGGCCAAACTCACAGGCCAGGTCCAAGGGCGTCTTCCCCGAGTTGTCCACCATGCACGGGTTGGACTGGTGCTGCAGCAGCATCTCCGACTGTAGGGGCCGAGAGCACAGTGAGGCCCACGGGCAGCCCCCGGCCAGAGCTGCCCCACCCCCCACCCCCACGCGGGTCTCACCACGTCGTAGTGACCATGCTGGGCCGCCAGATGCAGAGGAATGTGGCCCTCGTCAGACGGGATGTTCACGGCAGAGCCTGCCTTCAGCACCAGCTTCATGGGCTCCTTCCGGCCCTGCCAGGCCGCATAGTGCAATGGCCGCATGCCTGGGGGCAGGTGGGGGCTGTTGGGAGCTAACCCCTGACCCTGAACCCAACGCTGACCTCCAGAACATGGATTGTACAAGGACCCGCCTCATCCCGGACCCAGACCCTGGGCTGAGCCCTGAGGCGAGGCCACCCACCCCTGGCTCCAGGCCTGGGCCAGGCTTGCCTTTGTTGTCCTTGATGTCCACAGCGGCCTGGGCTTCCAGCAGCAGCGTGATCAGCTCCGTGTTGCCATTGAGGGCCGCGTGGTGCAGGGCAGAGAAGCTGGCGCAGGCAGAGGGCAAATGTCGGGGAGGACCCAGCACCCTGGTCCCCCAGGAGCCACCACCCCCTTCTAGGCTGGCACCACCCTGGCTGAGAACTCACCCATCTGGGTCCTGGAAGTTGACATTGATCTTCTTGGTGGAGCCCAGGAGCTCTGGGAGTGGAGAGGGACACGGTAAGGGGAGGCTCTGCCCAGCCCTTCCAGGCGGCCAGAGAGAAGGGGACTCATTCACTCAGCTCTGCCCTGCACTCGGCCCCGAGTGCCAACTGCCTGGGCCTTGGTTTCCCATTGCACTGAGATGGGGGCGATTCACAGGACCAACCAAGGACTCCGGTCTGTCCCCGCCTGGGGACAGGAGACTAGGCTGTGCACCCACACAGACACACACACACACGTGTGCACACGCACTCCCTCCCTGGGGACGCTGGCTGAGCACCTGCCAATGGTGGGAGGGAGAGAGCCGGCCCAATCTGTCTCTCAGAAGACCCAGATGGGGCCGGGGGTGGCCAGGGAGGCTGGAACACCCGGAAATGGGGGTATCTCTGGGGGAAGAGCTGCATCTCCACCACGCGGCCACCCCACTGCCAGCTCTGGGCCACAGCCAGTGTGGGCTACCCACATGACCAGGGCAGGGGAAGGTAGGTGAGAAGCTAGCGACCCTGCATGACCTGCACACAGCCATCTTGGCCACAGGGCTCAGGCCACCTGAGCTCAAGGGGCCCAAGCCTGCCGAGGGGCCTCCATCTCCCCTGGGGCCATCCCTCTTCCGGCTCCGCCGGCCAGCTGCCAGAGGAGGGAAGCCCACCAACACCCTCCCAGTGGGCTCAAGTCCACGTGGACTTGGGCCAACCCCCTGCCTGTCTGGGCCCTGGTTACATAACCCGTTTGTGGGTCAGTCACTCGGTGAGGGGGAGCGCGCAGGACAGAAGCCCCTTTGTACAGGCCCAGGACAGGGGTGGGGGTGGGAGCCTGAGGGCGGGAGTCGAGGCACAGAGGCTGCAGGGCTTGCCTGGTGACCCACAGCAGCCCTGGTCTCAGCCGCCAGACACAGGACGTGGGTCCTCTAATGACCCACGAGGCCCACAAGGTCAGACAGGCCTGAGTTCAAGTCTCCACTCTGCCACTCGCTAGCCCCATGGCCTTGGCCACTGGCCTCCTCCCCAAGCTGGAGAAGGCTGTGCTAACGGGCGGCAGCGGTGGACAGCGTTTCCAGACACGAAGCTCGCAGGGCCGGCACCGCCAGGGCTCAGTGAGTGGCAATTACTAATATCAGCTATGCGGGAATCCCACCCCCACCCCCTGCAGCGAGGGGTTTCTCTTGCGCAGAGCGAAGGCGTCGCCACCGCGCCAGCACCCCCATGCTCAGACACGTCCATTTCCACGTGTGGCAATGCCGCCCTTCCCCTCTGCGGCCCAGGCCAAAGCCGTGCATCCAGCCCTGGGCCTCTCCTGCATGCCTGTATCTTGTCCTTCCGTGAGCCCTCCTGGCTCTACCTGCAAGATGCTCTCAGCACGCTCGGAACCCTTCTCACCGCTTCTCACCACCGCCACCGCCGCCAGGCTGGGCTGGGCCAGCATTGCTCACCGGATCACTGCCACCACCTCCTCAGGGCATCCTACGTCCTCCCTCACCCCTGGGTCTAACCTCAGTGCCCAGCAGTCAGGGGGGCCCTATCAGAACACGAGTCGGATTCTGCCGCTCCTCTCCCGAAGCCCCTCCAGCAGCCTGTCTCGCTTGGGGGGGTGGCGGGGGGAGGCCGAGGGAGGACAATGACACTGCACAATGGGGCCCTCCTGCCCTCGCCCTGACCTCTTTGCCCTCTCTCTCATCACCCCTGCTCCAGCCACAGGGGCCTCCTTGACGCTCCTCTAACGTACTGGCTACCCCTGCTGCAGGGCCTTTGCACGTGCTGGGGGGCGCTGTTCTTCCCCTACGGATCCCCACAACTCCCTCCCTCATGTCCACTGTCACCTGTCAGCAAGGCCTCCCCATCCAAGATGGCACCCCCATCCCATGTCTGCCGTGTTGCTCTGTGTTCTTCACGACCACCGACCACGTCACACCTCACTGATCTCGTTCCTCACCCACCTCCACCAGTAAATTATAAGCGCCAAGAGGACAAGGGCTCGAATCTATGGTGTTCACTGGAGTCCTCGCTGGCTAAAGCAGTGCCTGGTGCACATGGGAGGCGCTCAGTAAATCGGAGACTGAAACGATAGTTTCATCCCACACTCTGTCCACCTGCCAGGGCCGGATACACGGGAGTACGACTGCGCAGTTGCCCGGAAGCCCCCACAACTGCTTGGTTGCTCTGTTGTCGCCATATTGAAATTCTTAATTTTGGGACAAGGAGCCCTGCATTTTCATCCAGCACGGAGCTCTGCGAATTATGTAGTGGGGCCTGCATGGTCCCTGTCCCTTGCCATTAGCTGGAGGGAGTGCAGACGTCACTGCCTCTCCCCCGGGGCCACACTCAGGATGTTCCCCCCAGGAACACTGCACCCCCACCCTTCCCAGTTCCAGCATAGCCAATCCTGGTGTCTCCCCTAAGACACGCCAAGCCAGGCCCTCTCCTCCTCGCAGTGGGACCCACAGCCAGGCCCACCTGCTCACCCAGCCACACCTGCAGGGGCTGAGATTTCAGGGGGCAGGAGGTCAAAGAACAGGAAGTGACACCTGTGGAGGAGAGGGAGCAGTCTGCATCAGGAAGGGGACCACCCCACGAGGAGGGCAGCACCTCACCCGCTCACCTCGTCCCTCTCTCTGCCCAGGGTCTCCTCAAAGAAGAAAGTAGCTGAAATTGGATGGGGGCAGCTTGAAGTCTTGGGACACCTTCCCCCAATTCCTGTGAGGGACACTGGGTGGCCAGGAAGGTCCCAGAACTGAAGTGGGCCTGGGGCTGGGGAGGCTGCCCCCTCTGAGGCAGGTTCTCTGGATGAGCAGGGGCGGAGGCTGGAGGCCAGCTGGAGGGGACAGGTGGGGGCCGGGCTGGAGGTGCAGGAGCCTCTGCAGGAGCCGCCTTTCCCGCCCTGCAAGGTCACTACGCCCCATGGGTTCCATGTGAGTAGGAGCACACAGACCTAAGCCCCCCACCCCCTGCCTATTACGCAGCCCTTCCTGGTCCCTGAGACCAGCCCCACCATTGGGTCAGGTCCCAACTCCAGGCTGCAAGGAACTTAGTGGGCCAAGGTGAGAGGTAGCAGGCACCAGTCCTCAGCATGCAGGGAATTCCTCCAGGGTGTCCTCAAGCCTCCTGGAAGAGGACGCCAGGCCCTCCCAGCCAGCAGGAGGCCACCCCTGCCCCAGCATTCTCCCTCCAGAGCAGATTCTCTTCTTCCCTCAAGGACAACAGCTAAGCGTGCATGTGCACCCAGGGGAGGCTTCCTTCAAGGCAGGGTGACAGAGCCTGGGGTAACAGAGCCTGGGGTGACACTAGAGTGGTGGGAGGAGGGAAGAGGCCAGGCACTGGGAGGGGACCATGAAAGCAAGGGTCACAGGAACACCTCTGGGCTCAGAGGCCTAGAGGACACTGCTGGACACCCCCCACCTCGTGGCCCAAACTCCAGCTGTACTTTGCTGAATCAAAATACATCTTACTCCAAAGCAGGCCAGCGTTGCCATGACGACGGAGCTAATTCATGGAGGGATTTCTCCATCTGATTTATTGCACCCGCCCCTGTGAGTCAGAGAGTACAGACACCGGGGGCCAGGGCAGGTGTCTCCCCTGCCCCAGAGGCCAGACAGGCAGAGGCAGAGACCCAGGCAGAGGTAAAGGCCCCCATGCCCCCCAAATGGCCTGAATAGAAGGGAGGAGGGACCCCCAAATCTGAGGCCTCCACTTCCCTAGTTTCGGGCCTGGGCCGTCTAGGGGAGCAGTCATAGTTGGCACTTACTGAGAATTCACTAAGTATCGGAGCCTCACGTGCACCCTCTCGCTGTCCTCACCACACTGCTGCAAGGCAAATGTCCCATCCTACAGATGGGGAGACTGAAGCCCAGAGAGCCAGGCTGTCCATGCCCAAGGTCACAGGACCACTAGGTGGAAGCCTTTACCATGCCTCTGTCTCTCTCTGCTGAGGCGCCTCCGCCTGGAAGCCCTCCCTTTCTGAACCCTAAGAGTCTGAGCCAGCCGAGGGCCAGCCTGCCCACCTGCAAAGCACCAGTGTCCCTGTCTCTTGCTGCACAGCGTGGACAAGAGCTGGCTAGGCAGGGTGCTGGGGGCGGGGGTCCTCCTGCCCCCACCCCCAAGAGCTGGTCCCAGTGCCCAGCAGCCCAGTGGCGAAAGGGGAGGGGCCTTCGGGCTACAGTCTGTGGGGCTGGAGTGGGGAGTGAGGGTGCCCAGACCCCACGTGCTGACCTGCAGAGCCCTGCCCGTGCCCGCACAGGTGCCTTGACACACTGACACGGTCATACGTGCGCAGCCGCACACACGGCTGGTCCACACGCCCATCCATCCATCTCCGGTGGCCCCCAGGGAGGTTCCGGCTGAGCCGGGATGAGCGCTGGGATCAGGGCTCCAAGCTCCTAGCCCTTCCCTGGGGCCCCCACAGCGCAAGCTTGGGATGGCCGGTGGGGCTCCTCCTTCACAGCCCCCGTTACCAGCAGAAAAGCCCAAGGGGCCCAGAGTCTGTTGGAGCCTGACGGAGAAGTGGGCCCACAGCCTTGCTTGGGGCTGCCCCTGCCTGGGCGACCTTGGGCCTCTGCTCCAGGAGTAAATGGCCCCCCACCAGCCATGCGGGGGATGGAGGGGCAGCCACACCCCCAGCGTGGTCCTGTCCCCCCTTCCCTGCGAAGCGTGTTATTAAACATGGGGCGGGGCGGTGGGGCAGGCACTGTCAGGGCCCTTGCCACCCCTTGCCGCCATGGCCCCCTCCCTCTCTCCACGGTGTGTGTATGGGGGGCATCCGCCTCGCCCTTTAAAGGCCCATCCGAGACCTCCAGCTGTCAGCCCGCAGCCTGGGAAGGGAGGGGACCGCGGCAGGGAAGGAGGGATGCGAACGCCTGCGGCCAGGGAGGTGGGTGCCGTCAGGACCCCACCGGGGGCTGGGGTGACGGCCGGGCGCTCGGGGCCGCCCCTCCTCCCGTGCTGGGGGCAGGGGGGGCGCTGACCGAGGGTCTGGGCGCTGCTGGCCCCGCCCCGCCCCCGGGGACCCGGCAGCATCCCTCCCGCCCTGCGCCCGGAGGGGTGGGGGGCTCGGCGCGGGAGGTGGGCCCCGAGCGCGCCCCCCGCACTCACTGGCCTTCCCGGGCCGCGGCCTCTGCAGCAGCCTCTGCGCGGTCCCCACGTCCTCCGCCTTCACCGCCTGCACCAGCTCCTGCTCCTTCCCCATGGCGCGGCCGGGCCGCAGCGACGCGGCTGCGCTCCGTGCGCTCGCGCGGCTCAGACGCGGCGGCCCCGCGGCCCCGGCCGCATCCCCTCCCTGTCCCGCCGCCTGCTCGGCCGCCCGCCGCCCCTTCGCCCTCCTCGGGCTCCGGCTCGGGCTCCGGCTCCCGGC